TTATAAGGGGCCAGGACCGGGGGGGGAAGAGAGTCTGAAATAAAAATTAAAAGAGGGATAAAGAACAACTTCAATTCTTACTCTCATATTACGAACTAACTCAGGGACACAGAAACAGACAATGAGAAGTCACGTGGATTGACACTCGAACGATGGAACATCCCTGTATTAGTCTTCCAAAGCACAAAACTGTAACATTGCGGAGTGGTGGCTCTGTGGCTCAGGATCTGTGCCTGTGGCTAGGAGGTTGCCAGTTCAAATCCCGCAGCTGGCAGAGGAATCCTACTCTGTTGGGACCCTGAGCAAGGCCCTTCACCCCAGCTGCTCCAGGGGCGCTGTACAATGGCTGACCCTGCGCTCTGACCCCCAACTTCTCTCCCTGTCTGTGCGTCTCACGGAGAGCAAGCTGGGGTCTGCGAAAAGACGAATTCCTAATACAAGAAATTGTATATGGCTAAAAAAAAAAGTGATCTTATCTTATTCACGTAGCACTCCTCTGGTACAAGCTGTGGGATGGCAGTCGAGTAAAAATGAGTTAGTACTGGTAAAGTTCTGCATCATCACAGCCATCTATCCAACAGCAGACAGCTGTTAAAGTAGTCTATATAAATGAAGTGCTTCATAGATGTCAGTAATAGCTCTGGCTTTAGTATAAATTGCCCGTCACTGCTACAGTAAAAAGCAGGAAGCATGTGTGTGCGTGGGAAGTGCCTTTTGTAGAACAAGACCCTTTGTAGGGGTGGGGCACTCCAGCTAATCGCAATCCATCACCCAGTGGTGTAGAATTCAAGCTCATATTCCAATTGACGTCATGAAGTTCGGAATAACATGCAGGCAAGATGAAAGATACAACTCTTTGCTTGAGTCAACAAGTGTTTCAAGAAATACCAATTGCAAAACCCCACATGGATGAACACTGCTATTCAACAGGAGTCGTTTGCTTTTCTGGCGTCACTCACCAGCTAAAGCAGTCAGCTGTTCCTTCTTTATCCTGACGTCCCCCCCTCGCGGGCTCTCCCTGGGACCCTGCTCCTGCTCGCTGCTGAGAAATGAACAGTAGATGTAGGATCCTATTAATTAAGGAAGATGCAGCAGAGCAAGAATTTGGTTGACAGCGTATATTAAAGGGGACATCTGGCGAAATCAGCGAGCGGTCACTGGTCACTTCTCCAGCTCACTTCCACACTCTCGGTGCGGGACGGGGCGAAGGCTCCAGTGAGCAAGGCTGGCGGTGCTGCAGAGGACTGGGTGACTTTGTCCACTAGCCAGTGCTTTAGGATAAAAACCAAAGATTTTCTGAGGTTTACATTCCACAGAACAACACAGGGAAGAAAGACACTCAAGGCAAAAAAAAGCCTCATTACAAAAGTGTCCTAAAATCCTTCAAATCGGAAGATAATGGCAGAGATTATTCAAGTGCAGCTGAACTTCAAAATCACATAGCCTGAATGGTAAAACACCGACACCTCACGTGCCTGCCTGCTGAGGGACAGGGACCGATTCACTCCACACGAGGTGTTACTCAGGTGCAGTAACTCAGATGTGCCCCACTCTATGCTGGTGTATTTTAAGAAAAAATAACAAAACATTCAGCAGCAGAAGACAGCAAGCAGAAAAAACACCAGCAAAAAAAACGGAAAAAAAAAAAAATCAGGTCTGCTCTAACGAATTTCATTTAAAAGGACGAGGATCAATCTCCAGGACAAGCCGAGCACGTCTACAGAAACAAGGAAATAAAGTCGTCGGCAGGGTCAACGTGGCCAGGAGCAAGAACCACTGTGACAGGGCTGCCTCTACTTGCAAAAGGGCATCTGTCATTTCCAACTAAGCTCACTCCCGAGCAAACTCTCTTATTACCGACTCTGCTTCCCCACACACACAGGCGCGACGCAGCCTCCTGAGGAGGGGCTGTCTGGCTCCCTGCCCTGACCCCCCGACACCCCGACTGCTGGCGCAGCTCTCCTTCCCTGCCACAGGTCTGCCCACACTTCCGCTCGAGTCCAGGATACACGGTCTTCAAACACCGGCTTCGTTTACTGCACACGCAGCCACCTCGGGACAATAAAAAAGCAAAGAGATCTTCCAGCCCTCAGTGAGACCCCAAGGGATTTAATCTTAGCCCCCGCAAAAATAGCAGCATCCCAACGTTTTCCTTTTAATTGTAAATACAATTCCTCCCTTCTTGTTCCACCGCAATGATCTCTTTTCAAAGCAGAACACCGTTTTGTCACCCAGGTTTAATTAAAACGAGTCTGCCGTCTGTGGGCCCAACTACAGCACAATTTCACAACAGTATGTATAAATCCCGACTTTGCCAGAAGAACGGTGTCACAGCGCATCCTTTTCTGAACAGATAAAGGAAAAGACCACACGTGGTGGACTTAGTTGCCTCCTGTTGGGCAATTTTAAACCCACACACCTGGAGGTGTAATGTAATACAGTAAACCACCTTGCCTGCCTGGAGTGGGTCACACTGCTCTCATCCCCTTGTGAGGAACACAGGCTGGGCTGGAGAGACCCTGAACCTCCCGGACAGAAAGCCTGCACCAGCACGCAGGAGGAGGGAGAGGAGCCGATGTGGACCGTTCTGATGGGGGGGGGGGGGGCTGGGCGTCTCCGACAAGAGGGCATGGAAAAACGCGACGCGGCAAACAGGCAGGAGGCACTGGGATTCTGGGGTTCGAGCCCAGTGGGACTGTAGGCGACTTTTCTCGGAATGGTACAGCAATGAGATCCCCACGTTCCCTGGTGCGTGGAGAAAGCTGGCCGTGCAGTCCGATGGCTCCCGACAAGGGGACGTTTCTGCACACAAGCGGCTTCACATTCGATCAGAGGGAGGCGTCACGTTTCAGAAGTGAAACACGTGGCTCTGCAACCTCAGTGCTGCCGGACCGTATTCCTGTAGGCCCATCAGTACCGCAGGCCTGACCAAGAGAACTACGGCTACAGAACGTGAACAAAGCCTTCCCAACAATATTCTTGGAGCAATGGAAGTTCACAGGGAAAGGAGTCCATTTAGATTACCTTTGGACAACATTCTGTAACATTTCTAGAAGGAAAAAGGGGGGTTGTTTTCCGGTTTGTCAATTACTTTTACAGGCTCATCTAGATGTCCGATATCTGCTCTAGAAAGCAATGAGCATCGTACAATCTCTTTCTTGAAAAGAGCGAGAAAGTAAATATGACTAAAACACTAAAAACAGAAGCCGTCTGCCAGGCTGTAACCCAGCGCCGAGTCGGACCTTTCTGAATCTCTTCTGCAGCCTCTTGTGTGTGAGCTTCCCGGCTGCTCTCCTGTGAGCGGGGTTCAGGTCTGTGCTGCAGCGACCTCATTGTGTCCTGTGTGTGTGAGTGTGTGCGCGCGCTCTCTCACAGAGGCAGGCCCGGGGCTGTGTGCTGGGACAGGCGGCAGTAGGAGACAGACTCCACATCTGTCAGCCCGGAGCAGACTCGCTGCGCTCAGAGCAGCGAAGCGCACTGGCTCAACTTTCTTGTCTTTTTTTTTTTCTTCTCCTTTTTGAAACGAGAGGCAGGAGGAGTCACAGGAGCAGGGAATCCTTGCGGACATACCACACACCGCCAAGGAACGAGACGCCTTCGTGCACTCAACTTTATTTCCCCCCCCGCCCTCCACTTTTAGTCAGTGCTTTGATGACGAACACCAGCGGCAAAATGACATTGTTTGCAAGAGACATACGGAGGAAGAGCAGGGGGGAACCGGCTCCTTAAGAAGCCTGCAGTGTGGGCTCAGCCTCTCTCGGCGTCTGCGGAGTCTCGGCACACAGGCAGGACGCAAGTAAGTACCCGATTCTGCTATTCCGCCTCACAGCAATTTTATTTTGAATAGCACTATTTTACCTAGATTTATTCCTGGTTTTTCGCGTTTTGTTTAACAATTTCATTCGATGCAAAAGCTTAACTACAGAGTTCTCAGTTTATGGATATTCACTATCCATGCTGCTCCATCCACACTTCTGCTGAACAAAGAAAACCAGCTACAGTGCACAAAGAAATAGCATGATGTCTTTTTTCAGTTACGGGTTTCAAAGCTAGCAGGTCTCGTTTCAATCTAGCTCTGCTACAATTATCCTGATTTTTAATTTTTTCCACTTATTACGCTATTATTGCTTGAGAAGTACGATGATGCTCTTCATTGCCCAATGCTTTCGTGATAAATTACTTGAGAACTGCTCTGTTAATGTTGTCCTGCATCTAATATCAGTATGAAGGCACCTCCACCAATTTCTTAGGTTTTCAGCAGCACCGAGTCGATATGTAAACCACAGCCACAAAACTTGTGTAGGAACCTGGGGGAGACCCAGCAGTCTGTGGCTTCTATGGAGATGTGCCACCTCGATATCTTCCACCTACTTATCACCTTCTCTGAGCATTGGTAATGTCTTAGACCCAGGAGGGGCTTTGGAAAGTTGGACTGGGGTACTTCTGCACCTCTCCGTCTAACCTGGGATGGTGTCCTTCCATGACATTTCATGAGAAGTGTGCACTGCAAGAATTACTTAATTGAAAACAAATATCTGGATTGTGACTTATCACAGAGAGGGTGCTTTCTGGTCTCCGTCTCCCGACTAGTCTGCTGTTACACATTTGGAACGAAAAGGCAGCTGTGCCACGGCACAATGAGAACAGTAAAATCAGTTCCCCCAGCAGCTCCTCCCTCTTTTGGTTCTGAAGTGAAACTCGCAGGCCAGCGAGAAGCAGAGGGCAGACAGAGCATCCGCGCAGCGTCGGTGTGGTTAGCTTCCTCCGCCTGCATGATCCCTGCCTGCAAACGCCTCCTGAACTCGGCTTCTGCAGGAGCCACCAGCTCGGACACAGAGCCTGTGTTAACCCAGGAGGATAATTTCTGCAAACGAGTCTCTGGCGGAGCTGAAACCTCCCAGCACCTATCAAACCGATCACCCGACACCCCCCACCCCCACCTCACAGTACAAGTCCCCTGTCCGGCTCCGCTGTGCTGGATGAGGAGGCCATGTGCTACAGCCAAAGATGAAAGAACAATTCCAGGTGGGAGCCAATTACAGCCCCATGCTGCTCGGCAATGCCTCTGCAGAGCCCTTGCACAGAGCACCCTGACAGCAGCACCGTCGGCCTTGACCGGCCGGTTATATCCGCAGCACAGAGAGGAAAGAAACTCCTATTCGAGAAAGGCACACTGGTGCCTTTTTTTAATAGGATCTCAAAAGATGTTCTAAAGGAACTCCTCACATCAGCTCTTTTGAGTGCATTCAAAAAAACCCTGATAAAACAAAAAGGAAAATGAAGCAGTGAGTGAGGAATGAGGGGGTGGGGCAGAAGTCAGAATAATATCTGGCCAGGCGTTAAAGAGAGCCGGGACACCGACATCTGACTGGCGGCGCTGACCACGTAACGGAGGTCAAGGGGAAAGAAGGGCGACCAGAACACAGCATGGCCCTTGTCACAGGTCTGCCAGGCCACTGAAAGAAGCCATTTCGAATCCTAATCCCTGGTGCTGCAAGGTGAAGGGCTGCATGTACTGTATATAGGAAAAGGAACCTGTAATAAAGAGAGCCAGCAGGTTACTGCATGGTCCTAAGAGTAAGAACTAATTCTCCTTATTCCTGAACCTCCTGTGCGTGCTGCTCAGCCCCACCATGCCGCTGTTCGGCTGGATGAAGTGGTCTCGGGCCGAGGGGGAGCGCGCGGGGGGCCGAGGTCAAGGGGCGGGCGTGCCCGGCCAGATGCTGATCCGGGAGCTGCTGTGGCACGTGGAGGAGCGCGGGCGGCGGGCGCGCGGGGCGGAGAGGG